TGAGGCACACAGAATTGTTACTCATCCAGGACAGCACAGATTGATAACTCCTCATAGGGATCACTGAAATGTTTAACTGAGGCCACTAGAATCCTGTTACTCAGGGACACAGAAATTGTACTGAGGGACACAGGACTTGTTACTCAGGGACAGACACTGAATATGTTACTGAGGGCCACAGACAAGGTTACTTTAGGGCCACCAGAATCGTTACTTAGGGCCACAGAATCGTCTACTCGCATCCACAGAAACGTTACTTAGGGCCCACAGTCAAAGGTGTAAACTTTTGGACACAGAAACTTTACTTAGGGGGCCATCCCAGAAACTTTGCCTTATGGGCCACAGAAATTGCCAGCTCGTAGGGCTCCAGAATCGATACTTTGACCTTTGGCCCCAACTAGCCTGATAATTTTGCCCTTTGAAAGGCTGTAGCCCCGGCAGATTAGCGTGGCATCTGAGCGCGTGTTAAGTGGCGGCCCAGGAGGTATTGTAACTCCGCGGACTATACTACGACTGTCCACACCAAACAGTGGAGAGACTACACTGTTGGTGTGAAATTATTATTGAATCAGGCGTGGATTGGTCTGGATTTCAAAACACCAGTTCCTGACGGTAACTGAATCTAAATCCGGCCATGAATCGATGCCACCTAAACATGTGCCAACTTTCAGGTCTCCTCATGAGGGCCCATTTTTTTGTCATTAGGAGTGCTGGCAATTCCTCCCATTGCTGCTGCCAGGCCCCTAATCTGTCCATGGGGGCCACCTGTACCGCCTCCTCATGCTGCTGCCAGGGTCCAACAGTGTCTCATGCGGTCCCAGGTGGCCTCCCATTGCTGCTGTCTCCATCGCACAAAACTCTGCCATGTTGCCACTTTCAGGTCTCCTCACACTGCTGGTGTGTTCCATTTTTTGTCATAGGGTGCTGGCAGATTACGGCCTCACATTGCTGCTGCCACGGCCCGTAATCTGCCAATGGGCCCCCCGATACCCCGCCTCCTCATGCTGCTAGCAAAAGGTAAATCCAGAGTTTCTCTCATGGGGTCACCTGTACGGCCTCCCATTGCTGCTGTCTCACATCAAGCCACACTCTGCCATGTTGCCACTGTTCAGGCTCTCCTAAAAAAAAATCACACACTGCTGGTGTGTTCCATTTTTTGTCATAGGGTGCTGGCAGATTAGACGGCCTTCCCAATACCTGCTGCTGACACCCAGGCCCCCTAGATCTGCCATTGGGCCCTATGTACCCCGCTCCTCTGCTGCTGCCAGGTCCACAGCTGTGTCATGCATGCCACTTTCAGGTCTCATCACACTGCTGGTGTGTTCCATTTTGTCATAGAGTGCTGGCAGATTCCGGGCCTACACATATGCTGCTGCCAGGCCCACTAATCTGCCATGGGCCCCCTGTAAACCGCCCTCCTCATGCTGCTTGCCAGGTCCACAGTGTCTCATGGGTCCCTGTATGGCCTCCCATTGCTGCTGTCTCCATCGCACCACTCTGCCATGTGCCACTTTCAGGTCTCCTCACACTGCTGGTGTGTTTCCATTTTTTGTCAATAGGGTGCTGGTAGATTACGGGCCTCCCATTGCTGCTGCCAGGCCAAGTGTAATCTGCCATGGGGGGCCCCCGTACCACCTTCATCATGCTGCTGCCAGGTCAGAGTCTCTCATGGGTCCCATGTACGGCCTCCCATTGCTGCTGTCTCCATCGCCACACTCTGCCATGTGCCACTTTCAGGTCTCCTCACACTGCTGGTGTGTTCCATTTTTTGTCATATCGGTGCTGGCAGATTACGGGCCTCCCATTGCTGCTGCCAGGCCCCTAATCTGCCATGGGCCCCTGTACCGCCTCCTCATGCTGCTGCAAGGTCCACAGTGTCTCATGGGTCCCTGTACGCCTCCCATTGCTGCTGTCTCCATCGCCACACTCTGCCATGTGCCACTTTCAGGTCTCCTCACACACTGCTGGTGTGTTCATTTTTTGTCATAGGGTGCTGGCAGATTACGGGCCTCCCATAGCTGCTGCCAGGCCCCTAATCTGCCATGGGCCCCTGTACCCCCCGCCTCCTCATGCTGCTGCCAGGTCCCAGTGTGTCTCATGCCATGTGCCACTTTCAGGTCTCCTCACACTGCTGGTTGTTCCATTTTGTCATAGAGTGCTGGCAGATTATTACGGGGCTCTCCCATTTGCTTGCTGCCAGGCCCCTAATCTGCCATGGCCCCTGTACCCCCGCCTCCTCATGCTGCTGCCAGGTCCACAGTGTCTCATGTCCCCTGTACGGCCTCCCATTGCTGCTGTCTCCATTGCCACACTCTTGCCAATGTGCCACTTTCAGGGTCTCCTCACACATGGCTAGGTGTGTTCCATTTTTTGTCATAGGGTGCTGCAGATTAACGGGCCTCCCATTGCTGCTGCCAGGCCCTAATCTGCCATGGGCCCCCTGTACCAGTCCGCCTCCTCATGCTGCTGCCAGTCAAGAGTGCTCTCATGGGTCCCTGTACGGCCTCCCATCATTGCTGTCTCCATTGCCACACTCTGCCATGTGCCACTTTTCAGGTCTCCTCACACTGCTGGTGTGTTCCATTTTTTGTCATAGGGTGCTAGCAGATTACGGGCCTCCCATTGCTGCTTGCCAGGCCCCTAATCTGCCATGGGGCCCCTGTACCGCGCCTTCCTCATGCTGCTGCCAGGCCCCATCAGTGTCTCATGGGCCCCTGTACGGCCCACCCATTGCTGCTGTCTCCATCGCCACACTCTGCCATGGTGCCACTTTCAGGTCTCGCACACACTGCTGGTGTGTTCCATTTTTTGTCATAGGGTGCTGGCAGATTGCTGCTGCCAGGCCGTAATCTGCCGGGCCCCGTACCTCCTCATATTGCTGCTGGCCAGGTAAATCTGGCCATCATGGGTCTCCATGGGTATGGGTCCCTGTACGGCCTCCCATTGCTGCTGTCTCCATCGCCACATCTGCCCCATGTGCCACTTTCATTCCCTCACACTGCTGGTGTGATCCATTTTTTGTTCATAGGGTGCTAGCAGATTATGGGCCTACCCATTGCTGCTCAGGCCCCTTATGCTGCCATGGGCCCCTGTACGCCTCCTCATGCTGCTCGCCATGGTGACAGGGTCCACAGTGTCTCAATGGGGTCCCTGTACGGCCTTCCCATTGCTGCTGTCTCCATCGCCACACTCTGCCATGTGCCACTTTCAGGTCTCCTCACACACTGCTGGTGTGTTCCATTTTTTGTCATAGGGTGCTGGCAGATTACGGGCCTCCCATCATGCTGCTGCCAGGCCCCTTAATCTTGCCATGGCCCCTGTACCCGCACCTCCATCATGCTGCTGCCAGGTCCACAGTAGGTGTCATGCCATGTGCCACTTTCAGGTCTCCGTCACACTGCTGGTGTGTTCCCATTTTGTCATAAGTGCTGGCAGATTACGGGCCCCATTGCTGCTGCCAGGCCCAATCTGCCATGGGACCCTGTACCGCCTCTCATGAGCTGCAGCCAGGTCCACAGTGTCTCATGTGGTCCCTGTACGGCCTCCCATTGCTGCTGTCTCCATCGCCACACTCTGCCATGTGCCACTTTCAGGTCTCCTCACACTGCTGGTGTGTACCCATTTTTTTGTCATAGGGGTGCTGGCAGATTACGGGCCTCCCATTGCTGCTGCCAGGCCCCTAATCTGCCATGGGCCCCGTACCGCCTCCTCATGCTGCTGCCAGGTCCACAGTCCCCCTGTACGGTCATTGCTGCTGTCTTCCATGTGCCCACTTTCAGGTCTCTCACACTGCTGGTGTGTTCCATTTTTTGTCATAGGGTGCTGGCAGATTACGGGCCTCCCATTGCTGCTGCCAGGCCCCCTAATCTGCCATGGGCCCCTGTACCGCCTCCTCATGCTGCTGCCAGGTCCACAGTGTCTCATGGGTCCCTGTACGGCCTCCCATTGCTGCTGTCTCCATCGCCACACTCTGCCATGTGCCACTTTCAGGTCTCCTCACACTGCTGGTGTGTTCCATTTTTTGTCATAGGGTGCTGGCAGATTACGGGCCTCCCATTGCTGCTGCCAGGCCCCTAATCTGCCATGGGCCCCTGTACCGCCTCCTCATGCTGCTGCCAGGTCCAGAGTCTCTCATGGGTCCCTGTACGGCCTCCCATTGCTGCTGTCTCCATCGCCACACTCTGCCATGTGCCACTTTCAGGTCTCCTCACACTGCTGGTGTGTTCCATTTTTTGTCATAGGGTGCTGGCAGATTACGGGCCTCCCATTGCTGCTGCCAGGCCCCTAATCTGCCATGGGCCCCTGTACCGCCTCCTCATGCTGCTGCCAGGTCCAGAGTCTCTCATGGGTCCCTGTACGGCCTCCCATTGCTGCTGTCTCCATCGCCACACTCTGCCATGTGTGCCACTTTCAGGTCTCCTCACACTGCTGGTGTGTTCCATTTTTTGTCATAGGGTGCTGGCAGATTACGGGCCTCCCATTGCTGCTGCCATAATGCTGCCTGCCAGGCCTCCCCCATCAGTGTCTCATGGGTCCCTGTACGCCTCCCATTGCTGCTGTCTCCAGTCGCCACACTCATGCCATGTGCCACTTTCAGGTCTCCTCACACTGCTGGTGTGTTCCATTTTTTGTCATAGGGTGCAGGCAGATTACGGGCCTCCCATTGCTGCTGCCAGGCCCCTAATCTGCCATGGGCCCCTGTACCGCCCTCCTCATGCTGCTGCCAGGTCCACAGTCTCTCATGGGTCCCTGTACGGCCTCCCATTGCTGCTGTCTCCATCGCCACACTCTGCCATGTGCCACTTTCAGGTCTCCTCACACTGCTGGTGTGTTCCATTTTTTTGTCATAAGGTGCTGGCAGATTACGGGCCTCCCATTGCTGCTGCCAGGCCCCTAATCTGCCATGGGCCCCTGTACCGCCTCCTCATGCTGCTGCCATCCACAGTGTCTCATGGGGTACGGCCGCCCATTGGCTTGTCGCAACGCCACACGGCGGTGCCATGTGCCACTTTCAGGTCTCCTCACACTGCTGGTGGTTCCACGTCAGTAGGGTGCTGGCAGATTACGGGCCTCCCATTGCTGCTGCCAGCCCCTAATCTGCCATGGGCCCCACCGCCTTCCCATTGCTGCTGCCGGTGTGCACGGGGGAAGTAGAGCACCAGCTCCCACTGCAGCCTGTCAGCCAGTGGTGCCAGCCAGTGTGCAGAGGAAGGCATCAGTTTCCTACTCGGCGGTGTGTGGCAATTTTTCGTCAAGCCGCCCGAGGAAGTAAACGTAGCCGTATGTCGACTATGTGGCCAGAAAGTCAAGCGTGGCCAGGGGGCCCATGTTGGGACTACAGCGTTGCGGCAGCATATGCAGCGTCGCCATTCGGTGGCCTGGGAAAACCGTGATAAAGAAACGGCGCCGGTGCCTGGGGAAAACCGTGACCATCGGCGGTTCTGCCTGCCCCAGACCCAGGGTTCCATTTTGTCATAGGGTCTGCAGATTAAGGCAGCCTCCCATTGGCAGCCTAAATTACGGGCCTCCCATCCCATGCAGCTGCTGCCATGGCCTCTAATCTGCCATGGGCCCCTGTACCGCCTCCTCATGCTGCTGCCAGGTCCCACAGTGTCTCATGGGTCCCTGTACCGCCTCCCATTGCTGCTGTCTCCATCGACACACTCTGCCATGTGCCACTTTCAGGTCTCCTCACTCCTCTCACGGATTCCGGCTGGGTTTTCCATTTTGTCATAGGGTGCTGTCCAGATTACTGGCCTCCCATTGCTGCTGCCAGGCCCGTAATCTGCCATGGGCCCCTGTACCGCCTCCTCATGCTGCTGCCAGGTCCAGAGTGTGTCATGGGTCCCTGTACCGCCTCCCATTGCTGCTGTCTCCATCGCCACACTCTGCCATGTGCCACTTTCAGGTCTCCTCACACTGCTGGTGGGTTCCATTTTGTCATAGGGTGCTGTATGGCCTCCCATTGCTGCTGCCTCCACCGCCACAAGGCTCTCTGAAGTCTAGAAACACCCTTTTATAAGTTAAATTCGCAGCGAATATATTCGACTCGAATCAAAATTTTTTCACGAATTCGCCGAATCAGTCGAATCGAATTTTTGAATAATTCGCTCATCTCTACTGACCATGTCCATCCATTTATGACTACAGTATACCCATCCTCTGATGGCTACTTCCAGCAAGATAATGAATCATGTCACAAAGCTCAGATCATCTCAAACCGGTTTCTTGCACATGACAATGAGTTCACTGTATTCCAATAGCCTTCACAGTTACCAGATCTCAATCTAATAGAGCACCTTTGGGATGTGGTGGAATGGGAGATTCACATCATGGATGTGCAGCCGACAAATCTGCAGCATTGCATGATGTTATGTCGATATTGACCAAAATCTCTGAGGAATGTTTTCAACACCTCGTTGAATCTATGCCACGAAGAAATAAGGCAGTTCTGAAGGCAAAAGGGGGTACAACAAGGTACTAGCAAGGTGTACCTAATAAAGTGGCCAGTGAGTGTATATGAAAAGGGATGCAGTAGTCAAATAGAGTCAAATTATTTAGTTCTTGATCGGTACACCATCACAATCCGCAGGACAAGACAGAAAAAAAACCAGCAAGATCAAAAAAAAAAAACACAATCAAAAACCAAACACCTTTTTGTGCATACAGAAAGTCCTGGAAAGTCCATAATCCAATGGAAGATATGAAACTGCAAGACTTCATAATTTCATCTAGGACAAAAACAGTATTTTATATATTTTTTCTCCTAGAGGAGACTATAAAGTCAAACTTTTTCATATCTTACTTTGGATCGTTGACTTTCAGTTTGGTTGCTTGAAACTGTACAGTATATACCGTATACGTATAAGGTACTTTACCTAGGGTTGCACTGTCTGTACTTTGTACTCTTTTTAAAGTCTGAGTATTTCTACCCTAAATCACAAATTTGCTCAAATGTATCAAGAATTAAGTAAATTTTTCATATTTAGCAGGTAGATAATAGGGCTTTCATCCTATCAATTTATATGCACTATTTTATCACAGAGACTGCTTTTGCAAAAGACTGACATTCTGAAATGATTTACAACTTCTATACTTTGCATTACACAAATATAATAAGTAAAATTCCGTTCACATCAGTTCAACCCATTCTGCAGGTAGTGCAACCCATTAATTTCTATATGCCAGTTGTCTCCAAACTGTGGCGATGGACAGATGCAGCCCTTTGCTTACATTTATCTGGCCCTTGGAACAGTATTCTTCCATTGATATTATGCATTACTTCTCCAAATGACAGGGCACTATTCCTCCCAGTGACACTAAAGGTGGAACACTTTTTCTCCACCCACTGACCTCCTGGGAAATTGTTTACTCCCACCAACACTGGATCATTTTCTACACTGGCCACAATCCGGACCCCTAAAATGTAAAGCACAGTAAACTGGTCCTTTGTTTAACCACTTGAAGTCTGGACACTTTTACCCTGTTCCTGTCCTGGCCAATTTTCAGCTTTCAGTGCTAACACACTTTGAATGACAATTACGTGGTCATGCAACACTGTACCCAAATGAATTTTTTTAGCATTTTTTTGAGACAGATAAAACTTTATTTTAGTGGTATTTATTCACCACTGGGATTTTTTTTTTTTTGTTATATAAATGAAAAAGTCTAAAAATTTTATAAAAAAAGTGTTTTTCTTATAAAATTTTGCAAATAAATAATCTTTCTTCATAAATCTTGGCCACAATTTATTCAGTTATCTTTTTAGTAAAAAAAAATAACCCAAATTAGGTTATAACCAAAAAAATTATAATTTTTCTAAATTTTTTTTACATTTTTTTTTTTATATATTATTTGATTTTTACATACTGTCGCCCTAGCAGTACAGTGTCACCATAGTGACACTGTACTACTTGTGGGGGGTGAAGAAGATTTTTTTATTTTTTTTTTTTTACACTGATTGCTTTTACACCCATAAAGATTGTAAAAGCAATAATTTCTCCTTCTCTCTGGCTGCATTCTTGCAGCCATTGAGAAATACTGTGTGAGCTGTGATTGGTCACAACTTGTCACATGGGACAAGGCTGTTGTGAATAGCCTTGTACCATGTGATCTCTGTGATCATTCACAGATTTCACACGTAGTAAGCAATGATGTCAGAAATTACATCTTGCTTACTACTCTTCACGTGATCACTGATTGGCCAATCAGTGATCACATGATCAGGGTCTCACACAGAAGTCCCGTACAACGATCGTGGTGCTGCGTGCTCCCAGGGAGGACGCACAAACAGGGAGCGGGGAGAATGTTTATAAACGGCCACCCGCCCCTGCACTGCTCCAGACGTTTATATACATGGGCCGGACTGGAAGTGGTTAAAAAGTTTGGAGATCCCTGCAATATCTCCTACCCACAGAAATGCAGGTAACGAGGTCCTGGATTATTTTATTAAAAAACGCAGTATTTTATTAGCACCCCCATTCATCTGCTAAAGAGCAACACATTACGCCTGCAGATCAGAAATGCTCACGATTTTGCAAGTATTCATGACCCACACAGCTGTTTACATATTTTTGTACATTCACATCAGTCTCTAACCCTTAAGGGATGTACAGTCTAAGGTCCCTAACTCACATTCATACAAACACATACTAGGGCTAATTTAAACAGGAGCCAATTAACCTACCAACATGTATTATGAGTGTGGAAGGAAACCAGAGTAAACTCATGCAGGTACAGGGAAAACATGCAAACTCCATGCAGGTGGTGCCGTGGTTGGTGAAGGGATTAGCCCTTAAGTTTGATGTCCCGCCATCTTGTCTCTCTGAGCCAAAGCTCCTCCATCTTAGAATCAGTATCCATCTTAAGACTTAAGTCAGTATTTTAAAAGGATTGATTTTTTGTCTTAAACTGTATTCTTGTCAGGAGTTAAAGTTCCTCTTTTTCCTTCAGGTGTAACTTCCCCTTTTTCCTTTAGCTAGCACAAGACTGAAAGCCTGCGGTGGGATATATCCTGTCGCAAGATTATTAATAATTATAGCCAATGTTAAATAGGGAAATTGTCTACTTTCTATACTGAACAAAAGTTCATGTTTTACGCACTTAATAAAATTTACATGAATGCCAAATGATTGGGCATGACTGACGTATGTAATATCTTGATTGGTTAATGCATATCTGTCAATTGATTGGTTCTTATATTTCTATGCATTGTTTTAAGTTTCATATATAAGTTTAAACACGGAAGAATAAATTTAGTTCATTCTGAGATACCACCTTGTGTCTGTCTGCAATTCCTGTGTCTCGGGTGAACTCCAGATCTGAGGGGTAAACACTGATCAATGCCAGGGACTGACGGGGGTCAGTGGCTCGAGAGGAACGAGGAGTCAATTCCTTTCAGTTGGGATTCAAACCAACGACTCTACTGCTGCTAGGAGAAAGTGCTAACACCTTAGCCACTGTGCTGCCCCGTACTATAGCTAGGTTACATTCATCTGGACTTGTTTTGTGATGTTGAAAACATGTCACCAATCATAAACATTCAGCACTGGAATTTGACATATTGTGCATCTTTAGAATGAATTCCCTTTTTTTTTTGTTTCCAGGTTAATAAATATGACAGCAGCTGCAGGGCAGTGGAATCCCCACCTACTGTCATGGGAAGGGGGGCTCAGGAGGTGTGGGGGAAGGGGTACCTAAACACGGGTGAATTAACCTTTATGCTCAGTTGCTGAATCCCAGCCCCCTGAAGACAATGAGAGCCAAATATTAAAAATCAGTAACTTCCATTTTCTACGCTAATAGGCAGGGGACTATCAAACAAATAGCAAGGGGGCCGTGCACTGCCTTAGGGTATATGAGAAAGCAAAAAACATTTTTTAGGAAAATCAGTTTGATGGGAAGCAAAAATTCCTTAAATAACATTCTTGGGAATACCCTTAACCTGTCTGCAAAGTGATGCATCTGTATTATGCACAGTATACAACCCACTGAAGCAAAACTCAAATTTACAAAAAAAAAAAAAAAACATTTAACCACTCGCCTTCCGGAAGGTTTTACCCCCTTCATGATCGGAGCATCTATTGCTATTCAGGACTGTGCTAGTTTAACTGGTAATTGCTTGGTCATGCAATACTGTACCTAAATAGAATTTAAATCATTTTTTCACACAATGGGCTTTCTTTTGATGGTATTTGATAACCACTGGGTTTTGAATTTTTTATTCCATAAACTAAAAAAGTACCAAAAAGTTTTAAAAAAATACAACGCTGTTTGTTTCTGTTATAAAAATTTTGCAAATAAATAATCTTTCTTCATAAATTTAGGTCAAAATGTAGTCGGTTATACTTCTTTTGTAAAATAATCCAAATTAATATATATATATATATATATATATATATAATTTTTTTTTAGTTCATTGCTTCTGATGTACTGATGGCCATCTAATTTCTTGAGGCCTGAAAATGCCAGGACAGTACAAATACCCCCCAAATGACCCCTTTTTGTAAAGTAGACAGTCCAAAAAATTGTGAAAAAAAATACAACTTACTAAAGAAGCATGGCAAGCTTTTTGATGTTGTAAATTTTTGTTACACATTTGTGGAAAATTAAGAAAGTAAATCTTTTTCACAATTTCCTTTTTACATACTGTCACCAATGCAGTACAGCGTCATCATATGACTGGTGTGGCGGTGGTCAGGGATACTGACTGGTGACTAACTGTTGACATTATAATTGTAATAAATTAATAATT